AAATTGAACAGGAACGGTGAAAGAGGGCACCCTTGACGAACGCCGCTGCTCGTGACGAACAACCTACTTAGTTCGTTGTAGACCCTTACACGACCGGAGGTATGTGAGTACAGTGACCTCAGTAGGTTAATGTACTTCTGGGGCATTCCTTTTCGAAGAAGGGAGCCCATCAGAGCTTCGCGGTCAACTGAGTCGAGCGCTCCTTTCAGGTCAAGGAACACTGTGATCTTTGGCCGACGGTGAGTATGACGCAGCTCAAGGATCTGATGCAACGTAAAAATCTGATTAATATATCCACGGCCAGGCCGGAATCCGGCTTGCTGTTCACGGATGTTGGTCTCTCGTAAAAGCGTTAAACGTCGAAGTATAACGGAAGCTAGCATTTTGGTGACGATCGGAATCAAACTGATCCCGCGGTGGTTTTCGCAATTGTTACGGGATCCCTTCTTCAAAATGGGAACGATCAGTGATTCGCCCCAAGGTGATGGAACGTGCTCTTACATCCAAATGTTGCGCAGTAGTGTAGTAATAGAGGTTATGAGGTTATCAACTCATCTTGAAAGGGTGGGAGGGAGCCATCAGGTCCTGCTACCTTTCCTCGCTTCAGAGCTTGAATGCAAGACCGAACTTCTGCTTTCGTTGGAGGATCGCATGACACTGCCTACGGAGGTTCAGTCGGAGATGAAGTAGCCCGGTTATCACTAGGCCAGATGAACTGTTCGCTGAAGTATTCTGCCCAGCGATCGAGTCGTTAATCCCTATTGTGAATAGCTCGTCCCCTCTTATCGCAGACTGTTCCACTAACTGGGGTTCCCCGACCTCCCGTATTGCGTATCAGTCGGAACAGTATTTGAATATTCCTTGATGCAGCTGCTACTTCCATTTCACTAGCTGTTGTTGCCCACCAGTTCTCACGGTCCTTCTTGAGGCTCTTCGTGAGCCGACGTTGTNTGTAGCTGCCGCCTCACTCTACTTTGATCCTGTCAGGTCGGGACTTGCCGTTTTTGCTCCTTCAGAGCTACAGACTCGTGAGATAACCAATACCTCCAACGGGTTTGAGGCTCAGACCCACAAGCAACATTTGCTGCGGAATGCATTGCTCGCCTAACCTGATCCCACTGCTTGTCTACATCACCACGCTGAAACGCACTTAGCTTACGCACTAGCTCTGACTCATGGCGTGCACGAACGGCTGGAGCAGATAGTTGTTGAGCTATCCGAGCTTGCTGGTTTTGTCGCCGACCAGTCAGTCGGAGAGTGGAATGCATCAGAAACAATGCGTGGTCAGACTCAACGAAGGTGGTCCAATAGGACATGCAATTTTGCACTGAGCCACGCCAACGATAACTTACTGCGTTGTGGTCGATTTGAGTTAGCGTAACGGTTGAATTTGAGCGCCACGTTGCCGTCCGTCGAGAGCTGTGTCGGAAGTTGGTGCTTGATAGGAACGGACGATGGTTTGCGCAGAACTGAAGAAGTTGATCGCCGTTATCTGTTTGTTGGCAGGGTAGATCGAAACTACCGTCTAGGCAAGCTTCTGATGCGCTGAGTTTTCCAACTTGCGCGTTGAAGTCACCTGCAAGTACAACTATATCGGAGCTTCGAATCATCCGAATGAGACCGGTGAGTTCATCGTAGAAAGCGTCCTTTTGGGTATTAGAACTGCAATTGGTCGGTGCATATGCTGATACGATAAACAAACCTTTTAGAGTTGCTTCCCTTCCGGACGCTGATTGAACCCTGGAGACGCAATGCACATAAACGACTGTTGACGGGGATCTAATCGATTAGAGAAGACTCCGATCTATTACTCAGTACAATATCTACCGCGCGCTGACCTACTGAACGAGCTTCATCGTAGCCTGACGTGCGAAGAACGTATCTCGTCGGAAAATCTGGCGCACCCAAGTGACTTAGAGTAGTAGGATCCTGGATCCGAGTTTCCGACACGCAGCAAATATCGATCCCTAAGGATTCCATAGTACGAGCCAGACAAGCTTGTTGACCTAGCTGCATCAAGGTCCTCACATTGAAAGCACCCAGATTCTGTGATTGACGAGGCTTTAGAATCTGCAATCCTTTCCGTGGTAAATCACTTACAGTGCTATTTGGCAATGAACTTTGGCGAGCGACATCGAAGTTGCTTGAGGGACTATTACAGGTCGGTAGAAGGGGTAAAAGGAGAGGGTTGGGAACGGAAGACAAAGAGTTAAACAAAGGTTGGGATATCTGAGCAGTAGCTCACTTATCACTACCCACCTCGCCCGATGCAGTGGGCAGCGCGGTCTTGATTATCCTGCACGACGACTGATGCAGTATGGAATTATTTTTATTCTGTGTATGCATTGGGGTTTGGTAGACGGGTACTGCTAGGGTGTCCAGCCACCAAGCAGGAGAACGATTAGGGTTCTCATCCAAAGCCTTTAGTTCTAACAAGAACCTAACCGCAAGGCAGCGAGTGAGGCAAAGTGGAGGCCCATTTACTTGGATCGATTATTCCACCGCTTTTTATCGACTGAAACGCCAAATTCCAGGCGAACCCCCAAGCTGGAAGACCAGGAAACTGAACTTCGTCTGACCTCTACCCATTGACCTTCCGGGCATGATAAGATCTCCTGGCTTTATAAAGCCATCCTGTGTAGTTCGTTGGGTCACACAGGTGCACAAGCCATCACACCATGTCAAGGTCTAGGCTCGTCGTGATGGTGGTGCACATTCATGCGTGAAGGCGATTGAGTGCATAAAATTATGTATAGTGTGAGGAATACCAATGGATGATAAAACAGTCACCCATATTTTGGAAGTTCGCGGCCTGTGAGCGTATGCAGAAATTTGTGAATAAAATTAATTAGGATGTGGATGTAAATTATATATATATATATATATATATAATATTTAACAAGCAGTCAATTACATAGAACTGGCAGATGTGCCACAACGTATGAAGAAGGGGATGTGAAAACGGTTAAAATGTAAATCAACGAACAAGAGTCTCGCAACAGGTGAGTCATTGACGTCGGTTACCAGCCATGTCTGCAAGCGTATCAAGCCATAAATGTTCTCTGTCCTTGGACCCCCAACCTGGGAGTCTAGAGTGTCCTACCACTGCCAGTTTTGAGGTTAGCGCCTTCACTGTTCGAGCCCAGGTTATTGTAAATATGTGATCAACGCAGCTCCGGCCAGGACGGAATCCAGCTTGTTCTAGGCGAATTTGCCGCTCTCTTGTCCAACTGAGCCTGCGAAGGACCAACGACGTTAACAGCTTGGATGCAACAGAGAT